CAGCCTCCTACGGGGGGGTCACAGATCTCCCCATAGTGTCTGAACCGGCAGAGTGCAGGTGCGAACTTGAAGCCTCAGTAGTTAGAAAAACATTCCACTGTCTTATCAGCCTAGCAGAACACACTGTTGCTAGTTACAAGAAAGCTTACTGAAGGAAAAAAAAATCAGTAAAAAGAAAAATTGGCTTCATCCTGGCTCAAACCAGGACAGCTGTTTACAGTCTGTGTACCCTGGTTGCATATTTCCACTGTAAAAGTATATAACAGAGCATTTTTCTCATAATAAACGATTCCATTGCTTCTCACCCTGGAGTCGGTGTCTTAACCACCACATGCTACTGCTGCCCCTGCCTTTTGGGAGAATACTGTCTTTTTACCAGATCTTCGTGGAATACTAGGGAGCTGAAGTCTGAAATCCTATTGCTCTTTTAAGAGCAGAGAGCTGAAATCCCTGCCTACTCCTAAAGTGTCCTGGTTTGAGCCAGGATGAAGCCAATTTTCCTTTTACTGATTTTTTTTTCCTTCCAAAAGCTTTCTTTAACTAGTCACAGAGTGTTTTGATTAAAGCTGATGAGAGGAATGTTTTTGTAACTGCTGGGTCTTCAAGGCCCTATCTTTACTCTGCTGGCTCAGACACTATGGGGAGATCTATGACCCCCCCGTAGGAGGCTGAATTAGACAGACAGCAAAATTGGCCAGAGATATTCCATTCCATATATCTACGTAAGCTCAGAGGAAGGTCAGAGATCACAGGAGACAACTTCCTTCCTTCTTCTTCTTCCCTTCTCTTCTGTCCATGGCTGGCGTCCGGGGAGGACTCCGTCCATCCATCACCGTCAACCCTTAGGCTCAAGCTCTCCTGACCCTCATCACTCTCCACTTTCTGCAGCAGCAGCTCCGGGATTTCTCGGGACTGTCTCAGCTCAGGGGAGTGCTCTGGGAGTTGCTGAGGGTGGGGGACGTGAGAGGCTTTTGCACATATCTGAACATATTTGTATATAATTGTATATATTTTCTTATATCATTAGTGTTTTAGTTAAAGCTGTGTAGTTTAGTTTTCAGAGCATCTCTTTTTCTCTCTCTCCTTCCCTACCTGGGTGGGAGGGGGAGGGGATCGAGAGCATTGTTGTCGGACCTGAGTCAAACAGTGACACAAAAAAGAAAGGAAGAGCCACCCAAGCCCCAACGGGGGGCAACTACGACACAGTCTAAATCACCTCCCTTTGTTATAACAATCCTCTTCCTATCCTATCAGCGGCTTGTATTATAGCTATATATTTGTACACCCCTGTTTTGTTCATAAAGTATCAGCACATATAAACCCCTCACTCAGTGTCCTCATTCCCTTTTTGAGCTGAAGTGCATGCTACCTGTGGGGGGGGGGGG